CCATTTTCCTAGCGGAACCTGCTGTGTTATAGGATCCCGTATCCTGTTTGTGTGCCTTGCTTTGACGAATGACTGCGCTTCATTATCGGGCACTTGTGATTCGTGATTCTATCTCTTAAGTTGTCCCGTTTCTGTACATAGTTTGCATTCCTTTTGGTGACCGCTCCTCAAGTGCGTTGTTCTGCGCCTTGACCCGCTTTGTATCTTGCTCTTGTATCGTGGAGATCGGATTGGCCCAAAATTTGAGGTATGATGCTTGCTTTTGTACATATTTGCCTGCTTATAGTACACGTAGATTACCGACTTCTCGTTATCTGGAACCGGACTTGGGGTTCGTATCTGCGAGTCACTCAACCACTGGGCGACAGTCCGGTACACCTTGGCAGTTTGAATCCGTCCAGTGTGCCTATTAGTTAATGAAAAGGACACCGGTCGCAAATTGTTTGCGGTTTCCAAATGCCGCTCCACTGCGTTGTTGAGTAGGTTTGGACTGACCAAAGACTCAGGTTATACGTTCCCAAAAGAATATTCACCAAATTCCGCATGGATAATCTGGAAGTATTTCGGCACATATGCAAAACATGGGCGCATTGTTAACTAAAAAGCGCTATCTAATCACACTAATTCAGTCTAATTTCCGTAATAATTGACTTTTACCACAATGCAAACTAGCCCAAACCCCGGAGATTTAAATCGATGAAATGTCCAAAAATAGTCAATCATTTGGGTTTTCTAAAAAAAACTACGATTTGATTTATGAAATTTATAGGCCTGCAAAACCTTTCCCAGGTGAATCCATGAAATCTGTGTTCGAGACCCGTGAAGATCTAGAATAACATCTGGTCGCTTCCAAAACACAATTGCCGCGCAACTTTGCATGATTGTAAAATATCTCTCTATCGTACAGCAATGAAAATTGATCCTGTGGTTGAAGGAAAATAAGGTCTGAATAAAATGATCTATCAGTGTGGTGGCAAGCTGAACAAGTGGATAGGTATCCGCATATGGAAGCGCGACGAATAGGCAAACGTAATAGTGGTGACTTAGTTACACAGGGCCGACCATTAGCAAGCACAGAGAACTGAAAATACATCAGTCCTGCTGCACATTACTGACTGTCGGACCAAACTCGTCAAACACAAGAGAATCCTCATCTAGTGAGGCAAAAACAAACCTGCATGATCACTTTGACCAAATCCAGCGGATGCGTGATCCCCGCAGCCATCGCACTGGCCAGTCCCCCGAAATACCATCTGGGAATAGGTTTGGTTGATTGCTTCCGAATGGTCACATCTTTGGAAGCCATTTGAACAGGTAACCTGTGAATAAGAAGGCATCCGCAAAAATCGGATTGGAGAGAGGTTGGAACTGGAGTGAGCGAGATGAAATTTAATCTAACGCAGACACATTTAACAAAAGAAAACCCAGAAAATCCAATTAAAGGCAGTGAACCGTGAATAGGCAGATAATTAATCATAGTTGTGTACTGGGGTGGGGTGGTGTAGCATTACTTTTAAATCACAGAAAGTCAGTTGCAATTGGTCTTTTCCACAAATTAGGAGTAGACTCCAGATTGCTACCCACGTGACGAAATCTGGGGATAGTGTTGGAAAAACAAATAATGCACTTCCGTTGTACATCCCAAATAATCTATATTGGATCAGAAATCATGGTGAGATGTAGTTTAACTCAGTGTGTAAAAAGAGTTCGAGATACAAGTGTATGACCCCGCTTAATTCATCTTCGTTAGTTTTTACCGGTCAAATGTAGAAGTACGCGGTGGCTTGGTGGTCACAGAAAATTAATTTATCACCTTGTAGCAACAATCAACGAACGAGTTACACCTGCTTTGAAGTAGTAACTTTACACACCCGGTAATTTGTAACCCCAGATGTGAAATTCGTCGTGCGATATCGTGACGTGTAGTCAGTCGGTCGTTCAGCAAACTATAAATAAATGCATTAGACTGGTGGTGGAGAATTGACGATCTCCTAAGGAGTGAAACCCACACCCAAGATCATCAACAGTGCCCGGTGTCTGTGAAAAACCGAATAGGCTAATCAAAACATCCACCGTTTAAACATAAATAGTTTTGTTTGAAAAAAATAAACGGAAGTGGAACTATACGGAGCAGGTGTTCTATAGTGTGCCACAGTTAAACGTAGAATGGTTGTGACGAAGAGAGACTTATTTTTAGTTTGTACAAGGTTGAATGTATTATTACATGCCCCGGTTTATAATCCCTATTTGACAACAGTCAACCAGTGAAAACCATCGTGGTTCGTCTCCAAATTAAAACTTTCAATCACCGCGGAAGTTTGATCACGTTCATGTGACGGGATTCGGCGTTACGTTACTGACTTCATGCAGTTGTTACACATGCTAGACGTCATTCCGCGAGACGAGAACGTTTATTTTGATCCACCGATCCGGAATGCCTTGTTCCCATTGGGCGGCAAGTTGTACAGCCAACTGACTGCAATCATTCTGACCGTATTGAGTAAACAAACAGTTCAAATGACAGCCCGGAGCATATGGACAAAGTGATACGTTCAAACGATGGTAGCAGGCTGGTCAATGAACTAACTATTCGGAGCGCAGCTGTTCATGGTGATTTGTATCTTAAAATGTTTACCAAATAGACACCGTTTACTATCTGATGCTGAAATGCATCGCGGCCTAAATTCAATCACTGAATGGACTGAGCAGTGTGATTGTATCAGTGCAACGCACACGGTTCTTGTCCGATCGAGTTTATCACGGAAAGCGATTTTCTTCAGAGTTGCCTCCACTCTCCGCATCAATTCAACTTTATAAACGATTCTGAAAACTGCACTGCCCGCGTGCGGGGACTATCGCATTGATATTGCTCCCGGGCTGGCAGTTTATCGGATCCCGAGTTCGCGGATGACATTTTGTTGCTAGGTGAAGATCCAGATAACTTGCCTACTCTTTCGGATGCTTTGGACTGATAGTGTAATTATGCTGGACATACATTTTGTATCTTCAAAGTACACAATATTATTTTAAAATTAGGTTGGTTCAATTTCTACCCTCATCGTAGTTGGGAAAGTCATCGAGAAAACAGAAAAAAAACATTTTAATTTGATAGCTACGTCTTCCCTAACAGACACATTACGGATGGAGTATCAGCACGCAAATAGAATCTTCGGTTGACGCATGTGAACTTGAGACACCTCTGGTACAGCCGCAGTTCATGAAGGGTAGCAGCTGCAGCAGTCCGCTCAGTGCGGAGACGTGCTCATTACAGGAACAAAATAGGTCGCCGGTGTTCGAAACCGGCCGTCTTGATCGATTTGCTCAAGTCTGGTATAACAACCTGACAGATACTGCTCAAATTGGGCTCAGGACTTTGGGCAATCGCGGTAGGGTAGTGAGGAGGCGGGGGCTTGTGTTTCGCCTTTCACTGCGAAGTGGTCAAACTAAAACCTGGTATGATAATACGAAAATCCTGGTCAAGGGACTTGCACTTGTGTCATACGCTAGACAACCTGACTGGGGAACCCGGGAACAGTATAGTCGAGGGATAGAGACACGGAGCATTGTAACCAGTGATATTCGCAGTCTTAGTCTATCTGAATCTTTATTTTCATCTTGGATCAGCTTTCCGCCTTCTAGTGCTTCCCTCTACTCCTTCAATCAAAAGGGCTATCAAAAGACAGTAACCAAAATATGCGCATAAGAGTGCATGGGTGATGGCCGCAGAACCTGATAACCTTTTTTTTATTACACACCAGTGTGTGATGAACAGCAGACGGAACCGAACCCATAGTCACGAAGACCGGTTGTTTAGTATTGATAACGAGCAACCTATCCCCCGAGACTTGGAGTGGCGAAACACATAAGGCCCCGATAGGTCAGGCGTGGTATAGAACCGGACGACAGGAAAGCTGTCTGCCATCAAAGTTGGATGGCGGTGGAGATGGACAACAGGGTCCAAAGCACGCCGGTAACAGTGACTAAAACCACTACGCCATCGCATGTTAGAATCCTACCACCGCAAACTAACTGCAACACTTTCTTGTCCCTCCACAAACAATCTTGATGTGGTCACACACATTTGGAAATTATCTGTACATTTGCATATTCCATGAAAGGGTTATATAACCACATTGATTAACACCTGTTAACAACATTCAATAATGAGACATGAGAAGAAACATTGCCATGATGTTATCCAAAGTAGCGGTATGTTTGTGTAAAGAGTGGGAGTGATAAATCTACTTAACAGTGTGTTAATAACTATGGATTTGGTTGTGTAGAGAGCACGCAAAGCGTGAACTGAGAAGCTAGGAAGTTCGGTTGTTTCGACCCGGTTGGATCACACCAGCAATGCAACTTCAGAAACCCAACTGGGCGAAATGAGGGGGGAGGGTCAGAAATTCCTTTTTTCGTATCCAAACCCATCATTGCTATCATCATGCGTATTCTCAGCTCGATTTCGTAAAATACATGGATTTGGTTTTCCGGTTCAATGGCACCGTTGGTATTTCCTGCTTGGTGTTTTAGAGCCAGTATTAAGATCTTTTTGATAAATTCTTCACCGCATTCTGCATTTTGAAAAATATAAGTAGTTAAATTCTAAACAGCAATGATCTCGGTAGAATTTTGAGCATCAACTTTTTCACGACCCAGGCCGTAACAGCGTATCAAGCGCTTCATATTGACAGGATCATCTGACCATGGTGAACGATTTATCGACTCGTATCTCATACCCGAACCGATGGAGGACAGTTGCCGTGGTATTTGTTTATTCTCATCTGAAGCGAATACGGTTAACCATCGAAGGCAAAAAGATCCCAGCTTTAGTGCCCAGACCACTGAATGTCTATACCTGATTCGGGCTCACTTATATAAAATCAATTGTCAATTGCACAAGTAGCACTGATTGCAAGGGCCAGTGTACTCGTTCTCAGCTGCTTAGTACTTAACTCACAGTCCAATCAGCTACAGAGGCCTACTTCGCGCCTCAATCAACCAGACCAACTCATTTGATAGTTTTGTTACATTCGGGCAACCTGCCTCCATAGTGGTACTCGAGAACAGCCAACGACATAGCATCCTCACGTGAGCATAAAGTCACTTCGTTGATCAGTCTGTAGAGGTGCGTTCATGCATGGGTGCTTATGTGCACTACCACAACGCTGCTATAGTTTACTGAGTGGACCGCTGAGCATTCTGACCCTGACACTCAGTCAACCATAGTGTCGCACTGCAGCAGTCACCCCTATCCAGTATTGATTGATCGGGGTAACCACGTTCACTATAGGTTGCCCTCAGAACTTCTCACTCCTATGTGAGCCACAGTCAAAGCATAGTACCACACGCGTGCTCGGATCGGAGGGAGACTGTGTGCCCGGTCACTTGTGCAGCAGAGATTGGTTCAGGCTACAGCGAAATTTAGGCTTTTGATAAGTAATTTTTAACTGATGGTTGTCTGCAAAAGTGAAACTGAGAATTCGATTCTCTTTCGGAATCTGACTATTTGGTATAAAAAACTCCTGAGCCAAGTGTACATATATATATATATATATGTTACAGTAAATAGTGAGGCATAACTAAAAATTTCCCTGGAAGCATACGACCAGTTTCGCGGTTCTTGCCGCTCTTCAGGCTTACATATCTTATAATCTCGTGTCAGTTCATTCATACACTCGTATACAGGAAGTGTATTTTCCTCGCAAATGTTTCATTTGCAACACCGGGTAAATTTATATGAATAGCTCCTTCATAAACAGTCCAATTATGAATCTAGACTATAATTCGATGTGTTCTATGTGGGTTGGATAATGCATATGTTGATTAAGAATACATGGAGATTCAGCCGGTGTTGAAAATGAGGGATTAGTTATGTGCAGAGCTTGAACTGCAAAGTTAAAAAACACTGTACAGGTAGTTTCAAATTGGTTGGGTTTCATCAAAGTGAGGAAGTCCATAGCCCCGACTGAGCATCGAAGCAACGAGCACCTACGCGTTGTTTCTTATTCAAACAAACATCGTATTTGCACTGTAGAATTCCATTGGGATTTATGGACCTTGAACGGAACTGTGTTAATTTAAGTGAAGCAACCGTGAGTTCGAATCTACCAATCGTGTTCGTTCGTGAAACCCGCAAGACCATTTGTGATTTGACCATTAAACCTTCATCACGGTTCTTTCTGAACAAGTTACTGAGGAGGACGAGGGTTTGACTTAACAGGTGAGATCCATGACGCAGTAGGGGTAAACAAAACCGGCCCATAAAACGACCTTTCTGGAGAAGCTCGGTGCAATACCTCATTTCTATTTGTCTGTCAC